TAGTTCAAGCCCAACGTTTTACAAACTTTTAAAATCAATAGTTTTTAAAAAGCATCAATAACAAAAGATAGAAACTTTATAACATTAAAAAACAACTCATTAAGATAACTTTTGTAGACATTTTAAAAAAAATATTTACTTTGAACAGCTTTATCAAGAATTGGCGGGCATATCATCGTGGCATTGTCAGTGATAGTATCGTGCAGTAATGCATTAATAAGTGACATGCATGTTATCCAAATAACAGTTTTGCAGCATATCTAAAAACAAAAATTATTAATAATTTACATTATATATGTGTACTATGGAATAAAAAAGTATATTTATTTTTTTAAACTCTATTCCCTTTATTTTAAATAGAAAATATATTAAATTAAATTTTACACAATCTCCTAAAAAAAATCTGTAGGTTATATATATATATATATATATATATATATATATATATATATATTATATATATATATATATATATATATATATATATATATATATATATATATATATATATATATATATATATATATATATATATATATATATATATATATATTGCTGACCACGCATATAATTTCTTGTGTTGACAACTTGACCACAACTTTTTTAATGATTTAAACATTTTAGAAATGCGCTGAAAAAAGAAACTCTAACCTAAACTGAAACTAGGAAAAAAAAATTAGAAAATAAAGAATAAATAAAGAAAACTATTTTTTAGTAAAAAAAATATATACATGCGTTAAAATAAAACTCAAAAAACTCAAATTCGAAGCGAGAATTACTCACACATTCAACTTCTTTAAAATGTATATATTTTTGTATAATTATTATGCCGTATGCTTCTAAGCTGTAGAATAAATCGCTTTTTTTTTTTTTTTTTTTAACTTTTTTAATTCGATGGTATTTTTTATGTTGCTCATGAAAATATGTGTTAAAAATAAAATCTTTTTATTGCATAGTTTAATAAAATCAATTATTTTCTTTCAAATGGGCAATTACAACACTATTTTGCATGTAAGTTATGTCAAATAAAATGGTTTCAAATGACGGGATATTTGAAGTAATTTTTATAGTTAAAATGTCACTTATATAGTCGAATACTTTTGCGGTCCAAAACGGTCCAGTAATTGGAAACTTGAAACAGATTGTTCAATATGTATATTATCAATATAAATAAGTTTTAAATCCGCGGATGTCCGCCTAGTTTCTATTAATGATTTTTGCAAGTTAACGGTGAAAAAAAAAAAGCTAGTTGAAGCAAGACATTTTTTATCTTAAATACGTATTACTACGTATTTTACACGTCTTTAACGCGTCTTTTATCCATAAGTAGTGACTAACTAGTTGCTAGCTCATCTCTCACCGTGTAAATGATGTATCCAATTTAATATGGCGAAAACATTTTATGTATTTTATTCTAAATGGTTATGTGATAATTGGGTCTCAGCAAGACTAGATTAGCGTTGCAAACTTTTTTTATTAATTATACATTCTAAAATACCTATTTGTAAAATTCTGTAAATAAAATTTTTTATTTTTATATAGTTAAAACATGAAAAGTATTGATATTTATTCATATATAATATAAGAAAATCTGAAGTTAATCCTAATATTTTATATACACAAAAAGGTTAAAATCCAGGTTGTCTTTTTATATGGATTATGTAGTAGTTTCATAAAATATAAAATAGAGCCTTGAAACTGCATAAAAGTACTTAAAATTATTAATTGGGAATGTGCTGAGTTTTTAAATGGAAAAAAAATTTTTAATCAGACTGCCACATTATTATTATTCTAGTTATAAAATTGATGCTTGAAGAAAAATTATGTAAGCTAGTAACTATGCAAAATAAAGCGTTAGGCATTTTCGGTGTCACTAACAACCAAATAAAAAATCCATAGTACCACTACATTTGTGGTATCAAAATACTCAATGTAGTAATTATTGGAGAAATCCAATAAAGTTATTACTTTATATTTGTTAAGGTAATAAAATATGTGGTTGCTAAGTAATTTAGGTATCCATAACAACCCAAAGTCAAAAACAATGTCACCATTAAAATCCTCAAATTAGTTAACGGTGCAAAAATAGTTTTTAAATCTTTTTTATATGAAGAGTTATTAGTTTTGTCCAGTAAAAGTGATTTCTGGCTCACTGTCCATTTGAAATAAATTGTTTTAAATTAAGGGTGCACAAATGTATCAGCATAGGCATCGGCATGCCGATGCATCAACAATTTGGCCAATGCATCGGCATCGGTGTTGGTAACCATGGGTCAATGCCGATTGTTTTAAAAAAACATTTTTTTTTTAATTATTATATTTTTACATTGTTTAAAAGAATATAACTATTCCATAAAGAAAAATGCATGTATAAGCCTAAGTAAACCTTTAAATATTTTTTTAACCGTTTCTTTATCAGGAGCTGATAAAAAACGCATTTAGTGTCATTTTTATAAAATAGGAAAGCAATTTTACGACTACTGGATCCAAACTATACAAAGAGAATAATTTAAAATATTGTTATTATTATTTTAAAAATTAGACATTTAGTTTTGAATAAATTATTTTCTTATGTGATTGTATTTCTTATTTAAGTTTAAATTCTAGAATATAGTTAGAAATTAAAATTTAAATAGTTGCATATATATATATATATATATATATATATATATATATATATATATATATATATATATATATATATATATATATATATATATATATATATATATATATATAATCTTTCTCCGATACTTTTTGCCATTATTTAAATAGTTTCTTTTTTTCTTCCTTTTTTATTCTTTTTATTTATTAATTTTTTTTTATTTCTATTTTTTTTTCTTTCAGATACTTAGTCTTCTTTTAAAATAACTTTTTTTTTTTTTTTTTTTTTTATTTAACTTTTTTCCTCTTAAAAAAAGTTAATTCTAAAAAGTTATTTCTAAAAAGTTATTTCTTAAAAAAAGTTATTTCATTAGAAAAAAGCGTCCATTATTTGACATGTGAAATCATATAGTTGTTGATCGCTTGTGATTTTATTTTATATATAAAATAAAATCACATGTGCATATTATTATTTTTTTGCTTAAAATATTTTAAGATGTTTTGTAACCAAATCGTAACAATAAAGTTATTTGAGTATAATAAAAATTTCAATTGCTTATCAAATGCTTATATATTATTATATATTTTAATACATCACAATTGCAATATTAAATTGAATATGAGTTTAAGTCTTATATATTGCAAAAAACATGTTTGGATATCTATAAATGTTTTGTATGTATTTTTCACTCACTTAGTCAATTTTAATTGTGCTATTGATTATATGATTGTATCATAGTAGTGTATCTTTTTTAAAACTTTGAAAATACACGTAAAACAGTATAACTTTAAATGGCTTTATGATAAAGTCATATAATAATATAATGTTATATGCGTGTTTACAAAGTTTTAAAAAAGAAACCAACTGTTAGTCATGGTGATTAAGACTTTGATATCATGTGAACAACCCCAACAATCATAAAAATGAATTTAAATGTACTAGTAAAACATTAGTAGTAGGAAAAAGGGAATTCTGGCTCATTTTATTTTATCTATACACATAACCATAATTTTTTGAATTTTTCTAAGTTTATCATAACCATAATTTCTGGCTCATTGTCATAAAAAATTGAAAAAAATGTTTATCAGTTTTAACTATCAAAGCAACCATCTAAGCATAATAGTAGCATTGTCCTAACAATAAATCTTTGTAATATTCTTGTTCAGTTGCATCAATTCTTTATTATCAACCCTTGAGTTAAAAGTCTCAAGAATACCCATACCACTTTATTAACGATTTGTTTCCACGTTTACGAATAACCTTTTTAATTCTAAATATCTCTTGACTCGTTTTTTGCAGTTTTTGTTCATAAAAAGGAAATTTTATTTCTTCACCATTATTGTCAGTTATTTTATACGTTGGTGGATTTGTATACTGAACTTGTGATATAGTAAATACTTCTTCAGTTCATCTAGGTGAGTATCCTTTTTCAAACGCTCCTTTCTTTTTAGTTATTCTAACTTTATCACCTATTGAAAACTTTGGTTGACCAGGACATGATTAAATTTTTCTATTTCGATTCAGCCAAACCATATTCTCATTCTTTTTATTACTTGCTTCAGAGAGTGTCAATTTAATTGAGGAGTGGTTTGTGTTGTTGTATTTATTTACCATTTCATCTAAAACATCAATGCATTTTCTAGTAGAATGGGTAGAAAAGTACTTGAACATTTTCTCTTTCATTGTCTTATTCCACCGTTCAACTACACAACTTTTCTCTTCATTTTCAGTTAAATATAACTGAACATCCAATGCTTTAACATGCTTGTTATAAAATTCTAAGCCTTTATCTACCCATAATCTAGAACACTTTCTATCTTTAAAGATTTTATTGAAGGTATGAGCAACTTCAACTCCAGTTTTAGTCTTCAATGGAACGATCCATTCATACTTTGAAAATAAATCTATCACCATTAATAAGTATTTTATACCGCTATTGAATTTAGAAAAAGCTTGCATGTCAACTAAATCAGCAGCCCAAATGTTATCGATTCTATTTACAATAATTTTTCTTTTTCTGAAATGTTTTACAACGTGTTGATGAAGTTCGTTTGCAAGTTCATTAGCCCATTTTATGTTTTTAGCTTTTTTACTGATTGCTGGCAGTTTTTTGACTTTTAATAAAGATCGTGAATATAAACTGCATTATCAACTCTATCTACAGGCTTACTCTATTCTTTAGGCGCATCAGTAGAAGTTAATTTTTTGTCAAATTAGTTCCAGGTTCTGCAAAATTCATAGCAGGTAAATGCATTTCACCTGGGAACTTCGTCCATGGTAATTTTATTTTACTTGTGATTGAGTTTAGTTAATTGACTAAATCACCTCCTGTTTTTTCTGCTTTTGTAAATTGAATTTTTGTTGTTTTACAATTAGCACAAGTTCCACGTATCATCTTTTTATTGTTTTTTACTTACAACATGTTGTAAGTTTAGTGTATCTGTTTTGTTTTTACATTTAAGGAAGTACATTTTTTATATATTTTTTATTTTTTAGTTATGTTCTAACTGATATAGATCTCGAAGAGATCAATATCTATATGAAATGAGATAAAAAAAATCTTTACATAAATAAAAATGGAAATTATAGAATTATCATGGGGTGATGAAGTTGAGCGTAATAATAGTATTATGTTACCAAAAAGTATAAGAGGAATTATTGTAGGAAAGTCTAATTGTGGAAAAACTACTTTATTATTAAACTAAATTTTAAGACCTGGTTGGATAGAATATAATAATTTACAAGTTTATGGAAATTATCTTTTTAAAAAAAATACAAAATAATAAAAAGATCTTTTGAAAATAAATTACCAAAGTAATTCTTGAACTATTTAAGTTAAAAGGCAAAATAAAAACAGATCATAACCTTGATCTTATAATTGAAGACATTTCTACAAAATTAAAAGATAAAAATAAATCAAATATAAAGTGTAAGTTTTTTGAAAAAGCGGATAATTTACCAGATCCAAAAGAATTTGATCCTCATAAAAATAATTTGATGATACTTGATGACTTAGAACCAACAAAGGTAAATAAGTGTGAAAAATATTATAGAAGAGGAAGACATAGTAATATAGATTGTTTCTATATTGCACAAAATTTTTTTGAGCTACCTGAACAACTATAAAAGAAAATGCAAATTTTGCATGTTTATTTCCGCAAGATTTAAGGAATTTAAATCACATTTATTATGATCATGCTTCAATTGATATGAAATATGATGAGTTTAAAAAATTTTGTGATAAAGCTTGGTCAGAACCGAATGGTTTGCTGTTATAGATTTATCTTCTAAAACAGATAATGGAAAATATTGAAGTGGATTAGATTGTTTTTAGTTTTTAACTTCTTTATTAAATAGTAAATGAAATATATATTTGTGTAAATATATATTTTCATCTAATAGTAAACCTTCTACTTTTTCATAATCGTTATCTTTTTCAAGTCCTTTTCCATAATAGTAGTAATATCCGTTTCCTAAAGATCTTTCTTTTTTCCATTCATTTACAAAATAACCATTTCCTACTTTTCAAGCTTTAAAAGCTCCTATATCCTTTTTCACATAAATACCATTACCAACAATTTTAATAACTAAAACACTTCCAGTTGCTGCACCCACTCCTGTTAATAATGCTGGAATAATTTTTGAAGCTAAAAAATTTCCAACTAACCTTAGTAAAGGTAGAAATCCACCTTCTACTTTAGTGTTATGAATGAGATTTTCTTCATCTAATTTAAGCATTACACCTTTTCTCTTTTTATATGCTTTTATTACTTCTTCTATTTGTTCATGTGTTAGAGATATTATATCTTCACCATTGAGATTTTCATAACTTAATCTTATAGTAATTTCATGTGCATCATCTTCTTCAAGTTCTTTTTTGATTCTTTTTTTTTTTAATATTCTGAAAGATTAACTTAAACATTCTGATATTTTGTCATTTTTATATATACACATTTTCTTTAATCTATTTTTTATTTTTAATAGCAATTATCAAATTTTTAAGAAGGGTTACTTGTTCTTTTAGAAGCGTTTCTTGCTCGCATTTAGAAGATTGTTCTCTTATATGAATTTTTATTGTTATTCTTTCTTTTTGTAAATCAATCAGTTCGCCATGTTGATCAATTAATAATGTTTCCATATCACGAATATTTCCTTTTATAGTTATGGGTAAGTAAATTGAAACATTTGGTTTTTCTACAACTTTAGCTCCTGGAGCTACAGAGGGGTAAAATGTATAAATAATGTTGCTGGGTGAGTCATCTAAATAAGATCCTTCAATAATACTACTTTTTACATGTATATTATTAATGTGATTTATAACTAATGCATTTTCTAGTGAATATGTACCCTCGTCATATATCTTTTTTTGCTAAAATCTAAAAGATCTAATTGAATTATCAATTGAAAAATCAACTTTAAATCTTGTTGCAATAGTCATTATAACATTAAATGTGAGTTTATCTCCTACAAAAGTAATTGTATCCATAGGTAATCTAAAGTCCAATAACTTATATCACTAAGCTCATATGTTCCTTCTGGAATAAGTCTAGTAGCCCAATTAGTTCCATTTGTACTGAAAATAAAAGTATTATTTTTTCAGTAATATTTTTAAGTACATTATATGTTTCTGAGTTTACTAATGCCATTTTATAATCTTTTTTTTCATCAAGTGGAATAGCTGGTAAAAACTTTCTTGTTATTATTATCTTATCTTTCTTGTTATTATTATCTCCTCCAATACATATATCCATTTTTATATATGCAAGAAAGTTTTTATATCATTTTACTTCTCTTATATGAAATTGTATTATTAATTTTTCTTTACTCAAATCTACAGCATGATGATCGACATCAACTAATTTAACTGTCATTTTTCAAAGTGTGTTTGTTTTTAATAGCAAATAACTTAAAAATTGTGGATGCTCAGCAATGCTTATTTGTACCTATAGTACAAAAGAAGGACAAGTAATAGTTAGAAATATATGTTTTACAGGAGTTTTCTTACTAATTATATTTTTTCCATTTACAATATTATTTAATATATGTAAGCATCTTGTTTTAGTTGTAATATTGGAGTGTATAGTTTCTAATCTTATAAATGCCATTTCATATTTTTTTGTTTTATCAAGTTCAATAATAGGATCAAATTGAATTGTTGTGATATTTGATTTATTGTTATGTACTTTATTATCCATTCTTTATATTTATAATAATTCTTATTTAAATTATTATAAATCTTTATGGAATATTTTTGTAATTTCTTTACTTTCTTTTTCATAAAAATAGACTGCATCTACTAATTTTACTTGTATAGATTGAATCGTTGAACCAATATAAACACCTTCAATTCAATTACACATCCAACAATCTAACATCTTTTTTTAATAAGATTATACCCTAAAATTTCATCATCATTTTTATATCTGAATATAGGTTCCATCTTTGTATTTTTACCTTCTGTTGGTATTTTTGCAAAAATAACTGGAGGTTTATTATCATTACATTTTAGAATTTTCAAGTAGTCAGTATTAAAACTCTTCACTTTATTTTTTAGTTATTTTTTTTTAACATTATCTCTACAAAATACTTCATCAGCACATAATTTTGTTTAATCAAAATTTTAAATTTTCACATATGACATTTTTATATATGTAAGAAAATTATTTAAGTCATTTTAAAAAAAACAAAAATATGTAAGTGACATAAACAAAAAAATTAATTATATAAAATGAATGAAAAGTATCTAAATGTTAAAAATAGTGAAAAGATAGATTTAATATATAACGAAAGTTTAGTTTATCATCCAATTTATATTCACGATAAATATAAAATATTTTCAAAACAAGATTTTACAATAAATCCAAATTCATACAAGTATGTTTCTTTAAGGTGTGGAATAACAATGACAGCAGGATATGTATTAGCTGCATTAGCAGAAGAATATAAGCCTTATTTATATTTAGCAAATAATATAGTTACTAAAATATCATTAACAGAATCTGTTAATGATATTTTAGTTACTCTATATAACATTGGTACATCAGGTATAAATATTAAAAAAGGAAGTTGTTTATGCTACATCGTATCTGACAAATTAATAAGTAAAAAAGTTTATAAAGAAAAATTATAAAATATAAACCTAGTATAAATATATTGTAATAAAATAATTTAAAAAAAAATATTTCTTTATAAAATGGAGTTTAATAAAATAGGTTTCAATAATATAGAGAATAAAGAATATAATATAAATCCTGGTATAAACTTTAAAGAAAATCCAACCGCACCAACTAAAAATCAAGCTCACATATATCGCTTACAAAAGATTAGCGATATTCAAAAAGAAATAGAACGTGAGAGAGAAAAAAGAACTATGTTAAGTAAAAAGTATCATAGAGCTGTAAGAATAATTTCAGCAATTGATAATACATTATTATCAAGTACTATGACTTTAGAGCTATTGGAGTTGGTTTTTTAGCAACTATAGTCGCAGCTCCAGTAGCTGTTGCATGTGAGAGCGCTGCATTTAGTATGGGGCTAGCGTCATTAATAGGTTTACAAGTGAGTAAAAAATTAAACTTAAAAGCAGAAAAACATGAAAAATTTAAAGTGTTAGCTGATGCAAAACTAAATACAATAAGCGATCATATTTCTAAAGCTTTAGTAGATGGAAATATTGATGATAATGAATATGAAAATATACTTAAAGAACTTTAAAAATTTCAAGTCATGTTTGAACAGATTAGAACAAAATCTAAAAATGATATAGATGAAAAGACTTAAGAATCATGAATAGATATAGGAAGAAAGCAATCTATGAAAGAGACTATGAAATTATTAGAAAGTAAATTCAGTAAGAATGAAAATATAGGAATAATAAATACTTTATAATAGTTTATATAAAAACATAATTTATGGTAGTAAAAACATGATTTATGATAATAATACGTTAAAAAAATGTTACGTATATAAAAATGTCGCTTTTAAATATTGTAGATTCAAAGAAAAGAAATGAATCTTTTAAAGAGCTTGAAAGAATAAAATAAAGTATATATCAAGATTCAGTAAATGAAATGATTGGATATGATGACTTACAGTATGACTTGGGTAATTTATACAAACCCATTATAAAGAAAACTTAGCTAAATTAGAAAATAAGGCTGATCATTTAGCTCTCACTCTATTAAATTATCCTGCAATAATGGGTATACCTGAAACTAAAGCAATAACTAGTAAAGATGTTAAATCTGATATGAAACCTACTGATAGTAAAATAATTGAATTAGGAACTAAAGCAACAAATTATCTACAGTCAACATATAGTAATAAAAAGGCGGCAGATACTACATTCGGTATACATTCAAAAAATAGAAAATTGTATATAGGAAGAAAACCAAT